TCCCTACACATTGGAAATGTTACTCCTATTTCATACCAAGGCGAAGGAAACCATTGTTGCAATTGTCACAAAACTTTTGAGTCGAAATCTCTTTAAGCAGGGAGCCTCTGGTTTTGCATCCTGTCCGTAGGAAAGATCAGGCTTTAAGCTAGGAGACACTCAGTAAGATTAGAACTTACTTTTCTGAGGGCTGGACACATATGTACATTGAAAACCAAAAATATCAGTGAAGTAACTCATTTTCATGCACGTGGGTCCTTGGAAATCATTGTGCAGGGTCTCAGAGGTGACATTCACATCAGATGGGCCAGATGTGAATGCAATTCAAAGGCATGCATGCATGTTGACTAATCATTTCTGGCAGGGGGCATGCAGAATGAGTGGCTGTGTCAAGAGGCCCCCCTCCTCTTTTTTTCTTTTGCTGATTTCAAAGAGAGCAGAAAAAAACAAATTGCCAGCCCCTTCTATTCTCCCACCTCCCCACCCAGTGCGGTAAAGTATTTATTTACATGGGAAACACTTTCCGGAGCATTCACCAAAAAAAAAGATGAGAAGGCATTTGGAAACATGAAAGATGATTATGGAAATAATTCCATAAATGAAAGAGTTTGTTCAATGGCCAAGCTCTTCGGTGATCTATTAGTTATTTGGGGATAGTCTAACAGCCACAAGGAGGCAGGATAGGGATCCACCTCTCTTCTTTCATGAGATTTCATTTTACTTACTTCTCCTTTATCAACATGTGGCTGGTTTGCAAATTAAATGGAAAAAATCAAGTCATGGACCATTCTGCAAGGTCAGCTTGGCTGGAAATAGACACCTGCTGTTTCCATTTCAATTAACAGTAAAACCTCACTGATTCAGAGTAATGGGAGAGGAGAGATGCTAGTCTGTCAGCAAAAAAACCTAAATTACTGGGCTTTCTAAAAGAGAACTGTCTTTTTGCTGCTTTCTGTATGCAGTCTGTACCAGGGCACCCAAGTAAAAGGTATTGATTATCATATCAATGTATCATAAACGTAGAAGTTTTTTTTTTTTTTAAAAAAAACTTCTAATAATTGTAGATAAATTGACCTATAAATTGAAGTCAAAGAGAGGGAAGCTTTAATTTTATAGATCCTGGGATGAAACTTGAAAGACGAGCCTTTAGAATTTCTAGAGAAAGTTGAGACCATGTCAAATATTTTACTTAGGAGAAATTAAAAGAGCCACATCTACAACTGAATTGTCACAAATTAAGAGTAGTTGGGTCTGAATCGATGAGGTTTTATTGTAGTTTTACCACCTGGGGATGAGAGCCCTGGGTTTTGGGGCTTGTTCCACTGACTACGTGGCTAAATCCAGCAGAGGAAGAAACCCTCAACCCCACCCGCAGAGCTCTCCTAGCCATCTGCCTACTAGGCAAGGATCTTCTAAATACTGAAACTTGCTGGAGTCCCACTCCTGCCCCCCAACCCTCTGTGGAGGGCTGACTCTCATCATCCCTGTTGCAGGATATTTGTAAAACTCACAAAGGCACACCAAATATTGGCTGGTACTTATTCTTTAGTTATTTATTTCACTTTGCATCTTCAGGGTGAGTCCAAGAATATAGTTACTAGAGAGACTGAATTGCCTTCCCAGACACAATTTTGCTCTAGGATGACAAGAAAAAAACAAACAAAAAAAAACAACAAATGAGACAAAACAAAAAACAAATCCTAAATGCCTGTAATTAAAAATTTTTCAGCCCAACCTCATACCTGGTTCTTACCAGCTTTATTGAAAAGCTGCAAACCAGAGGCCCTAAGAAGCACCTATGTCTACTATCTACAGAAAATTTAGTCCCTTGTTAGAATTTGATAATGTATTGAGAAATTATCCACAATTATCCATTAATAATCATATAGATAGGTAGCCCTACAAAGAACAATGACTACTGTGATATGAATTATCACCATGGAAGTCTGGCAGAGGAACACAGGATTCTAGTGAAGGAAGAGAATTTAAATGGGGGGGGGGCAGTTGTCGGAGAAGGGAAGTCCAAATTTATTTTTCTACACCCAAGGTATTTCTTTCAGAACCTCATAATCAAACCTGACTCTCTGAGAACGAGAAAAAGATTCAGGCAAGGGCAGCAATCACCAAAAAGCCATACCATAATTTTAATCAAACGAACAGAGTCTGTGTATCTAGGGTGGGCAAGGCAAAGCTTTAAAGTAAAACAACAATTATATTTATTTATCTTATACTTGCTCATACAGGTGAATGCTATTTTTGTACATGAGCTAACTCAATGTCTGTGGGTGTCTAAAGTCTTCAGAAATCTTTTCCAAAGACAAGAAGGAGGTGTACTTTGGCTTCCAAATACTTACCCAGTGCATTTCATTATGAAAAGGCAAAGATGTATGCTTTAGGGATATAGTCAGCCACACTGAACACACTCTATATTTTGTACACAAACTACATGTATATATGTACCCCTCTGTGTACCACAATACATATATACATATACATACGTATACATAGAGAGAGAGATTGGGCAAGTGAAGCAACAGTGCATGAAGGCATAATTCCTGCGTGTGTGCAGGTGTGTGTGTGCACATAATTTAGGCTCTGAGAGCAGAATTAAGCTGTAACTTAGAGATACGAGTGACAACTCCTACCATGTACTGCACGTGTGTATACATGACAAAGTCTTACCTGGGGGGATTTTTTTTTCTCCTGAAACAGTTAATTACTTTATATTGGAATTCAAAATAGTTTTAAGGCTCATTGATTTTTTGGGGGGGAGGCAATTCTACTTGTCACTTTTATTTGTGTGGTGGTGTCACCAAACAGCATGACCACACAGCCAAGATCCATGCTGAGGATTTAGTGATTTTCTAGAGTTTATCGAGCACCCAGAGAAGATGGCAGTGGATACTGGCCAGTAGAAAAAAAATTTCATCTTTCATCCTTTGGTCAGCAAAACCTCATCCTCAGCGTGCCAGGGCAAATTCTACTTCCTTGTTTACAGCCCAGAGGCTCTTGACCAGGCTTTACCATGAAATCAACTGGGCAGTTTAAAAAATTACCAGTACTCGGCTCCTCCCTATGAGATTCCAATTAATTGAGCTGGGGTGAGACCTGGCCATCAGCAGTTTTTTTCTTTTATTTATTTCTAATTTTTAAAATTTTTTTTGCCGTACGCGGGCCTCTCACTGTTGTGGCCTCTCCCGTTGCGGAGCACGGGCTCCGGACGCGCAGGCTCAGCGGCCATGGCTCACGGGCCCAGCCGCTCCGCGGCATGTGGGATCTTTCCGGACCGGGGCACGAACCCGCGTCCCCTGCATCGGCAGGCGGACTCCCAACCACTGCGCCACCAGGGAAGCCCGACAGGTAGTTTTTGATTGATTGAGTAATGAGGTTTTGTGAATGGGTGAAATGACGAACTCAGGAAATAATCCTGTACATTGATCTAAAAGCAAACTGGGTCTCTGAATTCCAAAGTACGCTGACATTTTCATTCCTAACTTCTTTTTCAGTTATACATATACATATTTCTATTCTTTTTTCAGATTCTTTTCCCATATAGGACATTCTTAGCTTCTAAAGTTAATAAACAAGAATTGAATTGATTTCTACCCTATTTATGAATGGCTTTTGAATATGTAAGATTAAAATATTTTTGTGGTGATGGTTATGAGGGCAGTTTAAGATGGTGATTAGCACATAGTGAAAAAGGGCTTTCTGGAAAAGTGAAAGACAAAATGTCTTCTTTGGATTATCAACTTTTCTTTGGGACCCCTTGTGAGTAATTTGGGAAAATATCCTCCTTTCTCAGACTGCAGCAGCCTCAGAAAATAACCTGATTGAATCAAACATATATGTCCGTGTTCTTCTATCATTCACTTAAAGAACAACTGTAAGGGAGGAAAACCATCTTCTTTGAATCCATGTCTTCGAAAATTTGGTCTGACATCTTGGGAAAAGCCTCAATACCCACAGCAGGGGAGGAATGGTCTGGAGATGATTTTGTGGACACCCGGAAAGAACATACTTACCATCACTTGGACCCCAGATGCCCCTAATCTGAAAAGCACGTCGCACAGGATAGAGCAGAAAAATATTCTAGCCCAGCTTAATTTTATGTCTGAATGTGAGTCCTAAGTTTTTACGTTTCGAGTGTGTTGATTTAGCCCCTCTTCTCACTCTCGGCTGTGCATTTGCTGGGTGCTGAAGGAGTTAGTTGTACCTGCCTCAAGGGGTCGTCACCCCGTTCCAGAGAGGGTTTTGGGGGAAATCACGATTCTCTGGCACTCTCTCTCTATATAAATACTGTATATATGGTTCACATACAGACAGCTGTAGCGGAAGATTAGTGTCACTCTGGCTAGCTACTACTGGTGACTACGCTCAGTACTCATCTGCTGAAGTAAAGGTAAGTACAGACGGACATAGGTACTATGACAGGCTAAGGGGACAGAATCAAGGCAGGTAGGAGGTGTGTGTTGGGACGGAACTGCAGTGGTTTTTAAGTGTATCAATTGCTTCATGCACGCACAAGGTAATCTCCCACATTTACCCTGCCGTGGAGGGCCACCCATTACACAAGCAGTCCACTGGCAATTGCCATTACATTCCTTGGGTCGGTGTTAGGAAGCAGGGGCACTGGGAAAAGTCCCATTAGAAGACATGGTACTGGAAGGGCATGCACAGACTATGACAGCAGGTGGCTGACTCATTCGTTTTGGTCACATACCTCTTTCCCCTGCCACGATCAGCCAAGATTGAATGGAAAAACAGGGAGGAAATTTAAATATGCAATCAGGCATTAGTTGGGATGACTGGCTTTATGGTGTATTATATATTATTTAACTATGCTGTCGATTTTCATTGAGTCATGGGAATGATCATTTTAGGTGCTTCTGACATTACTTTTATTGATGCCCCCTTTCTTCCCCCCTTTGCTGTAGATTTGCTTGGAGGGGAAGAGCGAGCATGAGCACAGTTTTCAAAAAGGCTATTTGAAGAGAGATGATTTTAAATCTCAGTTTTGAAACAAGCAGTGATATAACAGTTTGATCATAATGAAATCTTGGAATCTTTTCTTGGAAGGGTTGGGTTGTTTAAGTCCTTACAGGTTTGGGATTTAGTTAGTCTTGAAATCCCTCAGTTTATAATTATTATCAAAATAATCATTTTGACAGTGGTTTAAAAAAAAAAAAAAAAAAAAAGTAAGCTGAATTTATTTAGATGTATGTTGGAGAATCGACCAGTTGAACAACACAGAATAATCTGTTTCTGTCACTGCGTTTAGCAACCCAGGTCATCTGAGATTAATAAATGAAGACTCTAGGGTGAGTGGGCTAAGTTACGGAGATAAATTCAAAAAGACGGTTCTCGATCCACACGCCAAATAAAATAAATCGAAACAACAGTGGTAGCAACAGAAACAACCACAAAAGACCAAAAAGTATTTCATGTGTTCCTGACAATAACCATATGCTGCTTGATCATTATCTTGAAGATATACTCACCTCTTTGGCTTGTTGCTAGAAACATCTGAAAACTCAAGATGAAACGTATATCACGCAAGCACTTTTCAGTAGCTTTAAACAACCTCCAAAGACTCCTCCTGCAAAACTGTCACTTTCATTCTCTTTACAAGGCCAGTTAAAAGAAAGGGGTGTTAAGGCATCTCATTTACAAAGTTGCTGACAGAATCGGTTCTGCAACATCATCTAAGGAACAAGAGGCTTTGCCCATGATGCCCACTTACCTCTGCATGGTGTTCCTCGTTCTGCTGAAGAACTTCAATGACTAGTTCAGCAAGACGTATTGTGTCTTCCAGCTTTTTGGCAGGAGTGATTAACCGGCCTACATTTTCTGTAGTACAAGAATTTGCATTAAAATTCAGCGAAAGCGGCAGGCTAGTTTTGTGGCCGTTAGAACTAGTGGATAAGAAATTTCAAAGAGTTACCCATTTTTTTCAAAGTTTCATGCAAATGTTAAGTGCCACATAATTAGTAGTGAGCAAACCATAACGCCATTTTATTATCATGATCACCATCATTATTATAATACATATTAAGAAAAAGCAGTGCTCCAGCATCCAATTTGCTTATTAAGTTATATCAAGACTATGACAGCCCATTTCAAATTTGGTGACATTTTGTACACATGTTCTTTAAAGACAGCATAAATGGAGTATCTTATATCCCTCTCTAGACAGTGCTGTGCTTCCTGAGGTGAGAAGGTGTAACAGAAGCTTAGTCTTGATTGCTGCCACGTTTGTCCCTTCACAGTTGATACTACAGTATTGTTTTTCGTTCTAGGTCTGCACGTTTAACAGGTATTGGAAAAAAGCAGGTTCAATGGTCTAGCTGTTTTAAATTGTCCAGGGAGGAGACTGAGAATTAATGGACATTCTCGGGCCATTAGGTAGAAGGCAGGATAGAATTTTTAAAAGAGTGTTGGTTGTAGATTATTGGATGAAGTGGTTTGAACCACTGGTTGGTACAACTGAAATTTTGTCAGTTAGGTGGCAACAATGTACTCCATTTTTTTCTTTTAGTTTCTACTGTGTTGAAAGGGCTTTGATCACACTCAACAAACTGAACCCTGATTTCTGTTGTATCCTTTACAGAGCTAAATTCATGAATGTTTGCCGATGTTATGATGTAACCAAAAATTACACTTTTTTTTTTCCTGTGGGGGTAAAGAGTAATATTTGAAACATAAAGGTTTTCTTAGCCAATGAGATGGCCTGAATTCAACCAGTCTCAACTCACAGGGGAGCTTGTAGTTCATGCTCAGACCCCTTCAAACCTTAATGCCTGAGTCATTTAGAGCCCATGGCAATACGGATCCTTGAGCACGATTCCACAAGGAGGATATATATGTGCACAAGAGGACTGCTGAAACTTATTTTAACCTCTTCATCTGAAGCAGGTGTGTTTTGGCTTCAGGATTTTTCTGGCTAAAGAAGATTACTCAATACTTCACAGGAAGGGTCGGTTTGTCGTTGCTGGTTTGGCTTTGCGTGGTGTGGAGTGGGAAACAAAATCGTAGAGACTGTTAATTAAAAAAACAAACAAACAAGCAGCTCCTCATAATTTTTTCCTTGTGCATTTGTTAAATAGGCGATGAACATGTCAGATGATTCGTAATCTACGATTTAGCAACGAAAAAGAAAAATTCTGTGAAACACTGTGCAAATGGAGTGGTCCAGCCAATGGGACCTAAGAGTAAGGTTACTGAGGTGTTGAAAGTTTCTCTCCAACAGAGCCTGATGACTGGTGTGTCACTGGGCTTTGTGGACTCAGGCCAATGGAATGCTCCATTGTCTCTGCCAGGCTCAGCTGGAAATGCGGCTACATATAAGGTTAGGACATGAAGGTGGGAGCTGTGGGGAAATAAATATGCAGATTAGGCAGAGAATCTCCAACACTCAGAGTAAGGAAATGTGCAGAGTTTAGGGACTGACAGCTCACTGCCTGGTCCGGAGCAATAAATATTTGGAGAAAGAATGAGTGACAAGATTGATTTCTGTGCTTTTGGGGCACCTGGTCTGTTTATAATTTCATAAGTGGACTATCATAATTCTGTTAGTAGACTTTCAGGCATTTCTACAAACATACTGTGTATATATGTTGGGGTAATATGTGTAGAGTGAGGTATTTGCATTTTGATAGTAAATATGCATAGGCTACTATTTTTTTTGTTAGTTGATATTCACATTTACACATCAATTTGCAAATTCCTCATCCTATGCTTATTACCCATTTGACACATACACCCACATACACACATCACACACTTACATACATCTTCTAGGAAGCAGACAAGCCTGCACGTTAATACAAATCTGCAGAAAATCCCACTTGGGGCACATCTTTGAAATCTCTTACTTTCAAAATAGAGAACATTGTCCTTTCAGGTGGAACGCTCACCAAATCTAGGGGAACTCTATCTGTCCACGATATACAATGTAGAAATGGAAATCACATCAGTATTTTTATGTACTTTTATTTAGAAGCTGTGAATGATTTTTGTCTTTGGAGAAATCCAAGATGCGTAAGCTAGGATCACCTGAAGATTTGTTTTAATATGCAGTGCTCTTAGATTGACTACCATATATATCAATAGATACACATAAAGTGTACATGCACACGCAGTCTTTCTGTGAGTGTGTACACATGCACGCAGATATGTGTATGCCTGATGTATATATACAGACAGTATGTTTAATAAAACCTTTTGCCATTTTGCTTTAACATGCAACCATTTAAAGTCAGCAGGTTAAGTATCCTTGAACCTAGAACGTTTGATCTTCCAATGAACCCATGTAGCCAGACTTTCATTTATTATTAATTAGCTGCAATTCCATTATCTGCAGATCAAGCTACTATATTGTGACACAACTGTAATTTCCTCTTCACCTGCACTGCTAACTCTCTAGCTAGTAAAAATGGTACAAAAAGCAACCTCTTTAAGATGTTGTCTTTAAAGAAAATATTGTGCAAAATCCTCTAGTCCCTCCTCCCTCCCCCCCAGCAGAGGTCAAGGAGAAATTTGTGCTTAGAAACGATTTTTTTTGGGTCACATCTGCTGTCTGCAATATCTGGAAATGTACTGCAATATTCCTATCACCCAATCTTGTACTAGCTGGAGCACTGACGAAGGGGAACTAAAAATACAATATACTTGGTAAACATTTCATACAACAGAACTGAAGCTCATAACATAGAAAAAAAAATCGTCATGCAAAATGTTATGCAACAATGTTATTTTGTGCTGACATTGAGGTTTGAAAATGTTGCATATGTCAGACAGAGCTAGACAAAAAAAAAAAAAATGTGGACACTGGGAAATAAATGCTCTCTTTTCGAGTCTCTCAAAACCTACAGTGTCAAACTCGAGAGTCTGAGCCTCAGGTTAGTATGTTAAACAAAATTTCCAGAGGAATGAACGAAAAAAGCAAACTAAACTGGAAAGCTGTCGAATAAAGGAAAGGTAGAAGTTTACAGTACTTGATCTGGGCCTAGGCATGCCTTTGAGCCTCTGATATAACATGCTGGTCTGCATTTGGGTGGGCGGAGAAGGCCCAGGAGGAGGGGGAGTTGCTCGGGTAGGTGAAGAGAGATGGTAAAAAAGTAAAGAGACAAAGTGACTGTCACGAAGGATGACAATTAAGACGACAAACTCCGAGAAGAACAAACAAACAGGCAAAAACGATCAAACACGAATGGAGAGCTGCTGCTTCCTTGGCGTGACTGCAACGTTACAGAAGTGTGACACTGTTTGACGAGGGACGGGACTCTTACCAGTACCCTCAGCACCACCGTACTGAGACACTCAGAAGCGGAATGCAAATCCTGGATGCCTTCATCCAGATGGATACGCATGAATGATGGTGGCGGCATCATTGACCGAAAGAAGATAAGACTTTTTGTACAATAAAGAACACCTATATGTGAAGAGCTGCTTCCTCCTTCCAGGTGACCAGAAACAGCCCTCGATGTTGACATAATTGGAGGATCTGGCTTCTTATCCCCAGGATGTGACTTAACTTCCTATGGAACCTTGTACCTTCTACTGAAGCCTCTCTGTGCGTCAGCTTCCTCCTCTGCAAATTGAGACTATTGACATCTTTTTTTGTGTACCTTGCAGGGTTGTTGATAAGAACAAATAAAACAGTGCATGGGATGGATCTCTGCAAAGCTTCAGGTGCCTACAAATGTTCACTGTTATCTCCTACGTTGTGAGAAGGCAGGAATTAATTGCTTTGCAAAAGCAGATGAAGAGCCGTTATTAGTTCAAGTGAGCTAGGGAATATTCTTGCTCCCTTTGTGGAATTTCAACATGTCAAAATCTGTCATTTGGGGGGAAAAATGTGTGGTATCTGATTGTTTCCAGCTCATTTAATTATTTTCAACTTGGAGTTCTCATGGCTTTTATATTGTGGGTTGAATCATATATAAAAACTTGCCAGCTTATCAAATATGTTACTTGCTATTCCAAATGTTAGAATACGGTAATCAGCACTTGACCCATCTGTCATGTGGTTTACAATATCAGCACAGCAAACATCCTATAACAATAGCCTCTCGTTCAACACAGGCACTGACACTATCAGCTTCTGCAATTCTCTTTAATGAGTGTCTCATTAACCTCAGACCTGGTCTTTTCTAATGGTTCTCATTTATAAAGCAATCTGTATGGCGATTGCCAAGTTTGCTTCTTGGTTTGCTTGAATTTTTCAACTGGGAAAATGCATTTTACTGCAGGCTTATAGGAAATGCAATTCTAGCACTATTAATTTTAAAAAATATGAGAAATAAGGATAAATATAATATTCTGGAAAAACCATCTCTTAAAAGCAAAAGTTCACGTCATTCTTTTCTTGCGGGATCACCTCAATTTTTGAAAAGAAAAACCAAAAAAAAAAAAAAAAAAAAAAGAAAAAAGAAAAATCTATTCACTATTCTCCTCTTACTTAAATCTTTTGTTTGGGAATGACTGCGTGTAAATAGAATTTTTAAAAAATCAGTTTTAAATGACAGCTATATAAAGGAAGGCAACTACTAATCTCTTCTTTATAAAAAGGTACTCCACATTTTACGTTTTGTTAAAATCTGGTCTCCACCTATAGCTGGGCGGAAAGTTGGGTGCATCTCTGGTAACACCTTCTTCTGGCTCTCTGAATGTGTATTACTTGAGTGTGCAATTCTTAGGGAAACTCCTCCTTTATTCTTCCCAGATAACAGAACCTGTGTAAACCACTTGATATGGTGCTTTATAAAACAATGAAATGTCCCCAGGCTGAACCATAACCGGCGAGGCAGCAGATACATATTTCAGCTCAATGGGTCTTGATGAAAATT